CAGGAATGCTCTCAATGAGTGAGAGTTGACCACTATCCGCAGCACTAGCCTAATCACCGCGGGGTCAAAGGTCAGCGTGAGCTGAGGGCATGTCCTGCTTTTCGTCCACTCACCATTAGATTCACAGATTGACCTGCAGCTGCAAACCCAGATAAAGCATCAGAGACTGCTCCGAAACCTCTAATGATTTTAATTCTATTTGCTCTGGCAGTTGCTAGGGCGTTTGGGTAGTCGCTAGGTGAAAATGATTACATGCACTGGATTCCTGATAGGATATTCCATGCATACTAAACAACTGTGCATACTGAAGGCTAAATAGTGTGAAGAGCGTGGAATGATGCGCTTCCAAAAACAGCTGTAGATATTCGGTGATTTGTCGCCATCTGCTGGATAGATGATGTTGATACTGCGGTTATGATGAATAATAAAGCATTGGGTATAAAGTCAAATGATTTGAAAAACAAAAGCAGGACATGCCCTCAGCTCACGCTGACCTTTGACCCCGCGGTGATTAGGCTAGTGCTGCTGATAGTGGTCAACTCTCACTCATTGAGAGCATTCCTGCAGATAAGAGCCCTGACGCTCTTTGAACTTCCACTTGATGTTTGAACAATTTAAAACTGACATGTATTTCTAAAATGTATTTGGAAACTAAATTTAAAAGTAAAAACTTGAAAGCAGTACAAACTATGTAACTATTTAAGATGTACAATGTTTTTCTGTATTTGTTTTTGTTTTTTTTGGTTATACATACTCTTGTTTGTACATAAACATATAATATAAATAATAATAAAAAATAATAATAAATCATATCTGAACATAGATATCAGAAACTTGTTCCCGCCATGGAATTATTTTTTTTATTTTTTTTTAAAAAGGTAATTGCAACATTTTGTCTTTCAATTTTGACTTTTTTTTGTCTTTTTTTGTTTGTTTACTTATTGCATTTACATCAGTGCTATTTTAGAATAATTGAGACACTATTATAGTTTTCATTAATATTTTAACCAGCTTTTATTTTTATATTTTCTCTTTTCATTTTTTTTATTTTAGTTAAAGTTTTAGTATTTCTGTTGTGTGTTTTAGTCATTTTTAGTTTTTTTTTTTTGTAATATGTCTGTATAGTTTTTTATACATTTTTATTTTAGTTTTAGTTATTTTAGTCCATCAAGTCAATCTAAATTAAATTGAGAAATGTTGCCTTGGCAAATAGCTGAAATAAAAAGTTTTTTATATTTTATTGTAACATTTACTAAGGTAAAAAACAATAAGTTTTAAGTTTCAATAAGTTGAAATAAGTTTCAAGTAACGATAATGTTGCTGGTATTAATTTTACTGTCAGTTTTAATTTTAATTAATTATAATAACCCTGGTTTAGATCTTGCAATTCTGACTTTTTGCCCCACCAATTATTCTCAGAATTGTGAGTTTATATGAGGGATAAAAAAAAAAAAAGCATTGTGACTTTTTATCTGACAATTCTGAGTGTAAATGAATTGTGAGGGGAAAAAAAGTCAGAATTTTCAGATAAAATTTTATTTTATTTGATCACAGAATCAATTAAGCTTCCATATAAATGGATTTAAAGAATCACATCCACCAGAGATTTTTCTAGTGAAGCTGATCACAGAGTAAAGTTAACCAGCAGGAATGACAGCAGCAGACAAAACTGTTTTTACAAACATGATCATTTTTATTGGTTTGATTTCAGTTATGAAGAATGACAGCAGTCAAAATAGATTTCTATAGAAATAACAGCATTAGTCAGCCAACAACAAATCACACGGATTCTGAATCACATTCACTGACGCGCTCATTCAGTTTGTGTTGTGTTTAGTGCTGTTTATTCAATTTCAGCCGTAATAGATTGTGTAAGCTTGAATATATAATGATGGCGAAATCTTGAAGCTGTGCCGTCCGTGTCACCTACAGAACATCAGGTTTGACTTGACAACTATATGTGATTAAGAAGAGAAAAATCAGACATTTCAAAATGATTCTTAATCTTTCATTCATAATTCAGAGAGCTACACTAAAAAAGAGCCATGTCGTTCGGGACGGCATTTATTAACAGAATAGAAAAGACATGCGTGCACTTACATGTTGAAGAGCACAGGCAGCGTTTGAGCGGGAGTGCATCACCTAAACCACAGATCAAAATCCATCAGAAACTTTCTATAATGAAAAATCAAATGCATTCAGACTATAAAAGAGAAAAATATATATGTTTTTTACATTCTCTAAATTATTTTTGCCCATGTTTAACTGTTGTGGGTGGTTGCCAGGGCAATTCTATGCTGTTGCTAGGGTGTTAACGGGTGATGATGTGTTGCTATGTGGTTGCTAAGTGTTCTGAATATTTCAGTGTGTTGTTATGCAGTCGCTATGGTGTTCCAGGTGATGTTGTGTTGCTATACGGTTGCTAAGTGTTCTGAATATTTCAGTGTGTCGCTACGCAGTTGCTAGGGTGTTGGGTGATGTTTTGTTGCTATATGGTTTCTAAGTGTTCTGAATATTTCATTGCACTGCTATGCAGTTACTAGTGTGTTCTGGGTAATGTTATGTTGCTATGGGGTTGCTTAGCATTTTGAATATTTCAGTTCGTAGGCTATGCTGTTGCTAGGGTGTTCTAGACAGTGTGTTGCTATGTGGTTGCTAAGTGTTCTAAGTATTTCAGTTTGTTGCTATGCAGTTGCTAGGCTGTTCTGGGCAATACATTGCTATGTGGTTGCTAAGTGTTGTGAATATTTCAGTGTGTTGCTATGTAGTTGCTAGGCTGTTACGGGGTGATGTTCTGCTGCTACATGGTTTCTAAGAGTTCTGAATATTTCAGTGCATTGCGATGTAGTTGCGAGGGTGTTCTGGGTGATGTTATGTTGCTATGGGGTTGCTTAGCATTTTGAATATTTCAGTTTGTTGCTATGCTGTTGCTAGGGTGTTCTGGGCAATATGTTGCTATGTGGTTGCTAAGTGTTCTAAATATTTCAGTTCATTGCTATGCAGTTGCTAGGCTGTTCTGGGCAATACATTGCTATGTGGTTTCTAAGTGTTCTGAATATTTCAGTGCATTGCTATGCATTTGCTAGGCTGATCAGGGCAATATGTTGCTATGCGGTTGCTAAGTGTTCTGAATATTTCAGTGCATTGCTATGCAGTTGCTAGGGTGTTATGTGTGATGTTATGTTGCTACGTGGTTGCTTAGCGTTTTGAATATTTCAATGCTGTTGCTAGGGTGTTCCAGACAATGTGTTGCTACATGGTTGCTAAGAGTTCTGAGTATTTAAAATTGTTGCCATGCAGTTGCTAGGATGTTCTGGTTGATGTGTTGCTATATGGTTGCTAAGGTATTCTTAGTATTTCAGTGCATTGCTATGCAGCTGTTCCAGGTGATGTGTTGCTATGCAGTTGCTAGGTTGTTCTGGTCAGTGTGTTGTTATGTGT